CAGTCTGAAACATCCAGACCAATATTCTTACAGTCTCAATAGACATATAGTTTAGTAGAAAAAATTTCTTTTTGGTTTAAAATTTCTTTTTGTTTTTCTAGACATTTCATATAAATCTTAAATTGAATTTTAAAGTTTAATTTCAAATAAAGTTTAAATCTTATTTTGATTTTGAAAACAAGAGTCTTCTTAAAATCATAATATTTAGAAGTGGAAGAGAGCTAAAACTTTTTGTAATGCAACTTGTTATTTTATAGCAGGTTTATATGGCTTGAAAGGAGTCTCACAGCTAGTTCAGTGACAGAACTTGGCTAGAACTAAGGTTCCCGAATTCCATTGTAGTAATATATTATATTTTCATATTCTTTCTCTATGCTTGATGGATAAATGGGGCTTATTGGAAATTAATATAGAGATATTGTACTTGAGTTCCATTCTGTCACATACCAGCTATGTGACCTCTCTGAGACTTAGGGTCTTCAGTTATAAAATTAAGACAATTAATTTCTAACTCGTAGGACCTGTGAGCCTTGAGTTCAGATAATGCACATAAAGGGCTTAGCACAAAGCTTGGCTCAGTGTACTGCTGTGAACATCCATACTAGTATCATAATTACTATCATGGTTATTAATAATTTCTACCGAGCATAATGGAGCTATAAGTATAGTGAAAAGTTGCTAGACTAGATCCAGAAATGGACATTAATAATTCTGAAACTCTGAAGTCCATACTTACAGTATTACTTCATTCCATAACAAATAGGGCTGCTTTTTTATTTTGGCTGTCTTTTCAGATTGTGATGTGGGTCTTTTTGAACTGGCGCTTCAACTTCGAGAAAAAAGGCTGGACATTGAGGAGGCCTTAGTTGAAGAAAAAAAAATCATCGACAACCTCAAAAAGGAATATGATACGTTGTCCAAAAAAGTATGGTGGTTTGCCTTTTCTAGGTCTATTTATCCTCTCCCAACATGCTACACAGTCTCCCAGCTATAATATTGCCATTTCATAGCAATGACATAATTTAGGACTTCTCCCAAGAGAAGAAACGTTTCAGATGTTATATCCAGTTTTTTTTCCTTCAAACACCATCACGATGGGAGCCATTGGACTTTCTTTATCTAAATAATTGGTCCCCAAACTTTGATCACATACTTCTATACATAAAAAAAATGTGGAGCACCTATCCACAAAATAAATGTATATTTATTTATACATTATAACCGATTGAACTAATATACAGTTGACCCTTGAACTACACAGGTTTGAATTGTGTAGGTCCACTTATAATGCAGAAATTTTTCAGTATATATACAGTCAGCCTTCCGTATCCCTAGGTTTCACATCTGTGGATTCAACCAACTGCAGGTGAGAAACAGTATTTTCGATCCTTGGTTGGGAATCCACAGATGCAGAGGACCAACTTAAGTTATACGTGGATTTTCAACTGTGCTGGAGGTCGGCGCCCCTAACCTCCACATTGTTCGATGGTCAACTGTATTTTGTATATGATGAAACATTCACAAAAACAGAAATTTTAAAAAATACATAGAAATAGAAACTTATATATTTTTCTGCACCCAGTAGGTCACTTTGTTGACACTTTGGGGTGGGTGCATCCCATGGTGGAGACCAGTAAGCTTAACTTTTGGGGTGAGTGCATCCCGTGGTGGAGACCAGTAAGCTAATCAATATGGTATGATCATATTGATTAATTTCTGCCTTATCTGCTCATTTTCCTTCCTAAATACCCTTTCCTAGAGCAACATCACTTGGTTCATATTCAGAAATATTTTTGATATATTGCTTCTCTTCTTGCCAATAGGAGATGATTTAAAAATTTTTCAAGTTTTTTGTGAGATGAAGAATGTGTTATAGAAATCCTGTAGTTATTGGTTTTGGTTTTGTCACTTTAGAGCCTTTTCCCTTTAATTTATTGAGTTCATTTTGAACAATCAAGATTTGAACCATCCTGGCAAAGACATTCCATGCTGAGAGATATTTTTCATACAAAAATAAAAGGGAGATGAGGACATGTTTTCTGAGCTCACATTTATAAAACCTTTACAACTCTGGAGACATTGGAATGATTGAAAAAGTAGTGTAGACAATGACTTGGCCGGAAGGAAATAATATACATTCCCGGGCTGCAGACCGGGATTCTCCATGTAATCACAGCCCCAAATAGCAAATCTTGCTCATGCTTTTACTTCCTCTCAAGATGCCCTCATTTACCTCTTTGGGTTTGTGTTCTCTGAATCTTGTCAACATTTCACTCATGGGGGTTCCCACAGGTCAAAATTATAGCTACTAATCTTAATGCAGCTGAGGAGGACCTGGAGGCTTATCAACGAGAGAAGCAGCAGCGGCTGAATGAACTGCTGGTTGTGATTCCACTCAAGCTCCACCAGGTGATGGGTCTAGAGGTTGTCCCACCCTGAATAAAAGAACCACCACACCCAGGCTTTTCCATGATAAAATTCATGGGTCACTAGTGGGGCCAAGAGTGATCCTTTGCTGAGAATTCTACCTGTAGAACGACACCCCAACTTTCCTTATCCATTCTCAGGTTATTATAAAAGAGTAACATCAAAACATGTATTTCCCTATGACCTATTATTCAACTTTAAAAGTTGAATCATTTCAGGTCTGGAGAATGAGAAGTCTATGACTTAAGAATGGAATGGCTTAGATTTTGAAATCTTGGATCTCGCACAAATATTACTTTTGCACCATCTTTAAATAGACATAAACTAATGAAGTAATAATTATTTTGATCTCTACTTATTGAGAGAAGACAAAAGGAAAATATTTTTTCTTTTTTCCTTTTTTTGTTTATTTCCACACTCCACTTGAATTGTAACATGTTAAAATGCAGAGATACATATCAGTGAGAGAAAAAGGCTGAGAGAGAAAAGAGAAAAATACTGTCTTTTGTCAAGTAAAGAGAGAAAGCTGTGTTTTAGAAGAGAAACCTAAGATTAGCCTTACATATGTTGTATGTCAGTGTTAGGTGCTGTGGAATTGGCTCTGCCTCTGGGCAACCCTATGAATGAGTGACGTCCACAATGTCCTGTCCTCGACAAATCTGCTTAGCTCCTGTGGACTCACGTCTTCTTTTATGAAGTCAATCCATCTCATATTTGGTCTTTTTTTTTTCTTTCTGCCTTCTATTTTCCCAGCATTATTGTCTTTTCCAAAGAACACTGCCTTCTTCTGATGTGCCTGAAGTAGGACAGTTTCAGTTTTGTCATTTTTGCCTCCAGTGATGTTTTGGGTTTGATTTACTTTGTGTAACCCAAACCAAACTGGGTTAGCTGCATGTAGCAATTTGCCTAATATGCCAACCATGAAATGTTTGTTCCATCATTGTGCAGTAGATATTAGCCATGATCTGTGTGGGAAGATTTGCCGTCCCCAGAGGGATCTAACGTGGCTTACTATCTGAAGGCAGCCTCCTGCTTTCACCTTATTTAGTGGTGAGAAAGACAGTAACCTAAACAAGGAATGGAAGGAAGTGCTTCCCTCATGCTTTCTATGACTTTACATTTAATTTGATCTTTGTTTTGATTTTGGTTTTGTTTTGTTTTTGTTAGATTGAGTATGTGGTATTTGGAGAAATACCTAGTGATCTTTCTGGAACTTTGGTCTTTTCTAATCGCTCCTTGGGACAGCTTCAAGATCGAATTGTACAGCTCCATGAGGAGAATTCTAAGCAACAAAAAATTAACAAAGAATTTCGGGAGAGGCGTAAACAGCTTATTCGAGAAAAGAGAGAGATGGCAAAAACCATACAGAGTGAGTAACTAAGCCCATGGATTATCTGGTAATATTTATTGATATTTCCTCATAAGTAATATTTGTTATTAAGAGGAAACTATCAAGTGACTGTCTCCATCTTTGAAAACAATAAGTAATCAAAGAATCAAGAGGAAACAAAAACACCTTATCTTCCTACTTACTATTTCTCCTGATACCATTGAAGATCACTCTCCTATTTTAAAGGGATAAATCTTTTATCATAGAAATGGTTTCTCTGGATTACAAAAGGTTTTATATTAATGAAATATAGAATAATATAATAATAACCCATGTATTACTACCAAGCGTAAAAAATAAAACACTGAAGTTACAATTGAAGGCCTTTTTCTTTCCAATTTTCTGCTATCTCCTACCCCAGGATCCAGCACCAGGTGAGCACACATGTATGTTTATGCATGCATCCACACACAATATGTGAAGCTACTTTGCATATTTTTAACTGAAATACTATGTTATATAATTTTATAGTTCACTTTATTAAACCAGTTCTTTAGAGTCATCCATATTGCTATAATAATTATTCACCATAACTGCTATTATAATATTTCATTGTAGAACTATAAAGGAGGTAATTTCTTCAGTCTTCTGTTGATATTTAGGATATTTTTCATGATTACAGACAATGTTACAGCAAACCTTCTTGTACATGTCTCCCTGTGCATGTGTGTAAGAAGATAAATCCCAGGATGGGGGGCTCTAGGTAACAGGGTAATGTGTACATTTTCAGTGCTCCTGGATATTGCCATGTCGCCCTCCAAAATGGTTGTTCTATTTTAGTTCCCCGCCCCCTACAGTGTGTGAGAATTGCCCAGGCTTCATATTGTCATCATTGCTTGATGCTATCAGACTTTAGTATGTTTGTCAACCCAGTAGATGTTAAGTTGTTTTCACTGTGGTTTTTATTTACATTTCCTTGATTCCGGTGAGGTCAAACAGCTTCACATACATCTATTTGTGTTTGCTTTTCTCTAACTTGCCAGTTGTATCTTTTACCCATTTTTTTACTTCTATTTTTTGTTTGTTTTCTTAGTGATTTTAGGGAGTTCTTTCTACATTCTTTCTTTGTCCATCGAATGCACTTCAAATCCCTTCTAGTTTGTGGCTTGCCTTTTTACTTTGTTTAGTGTATTTTGGGGGATATAGACATTTTAAATCTTAACGTAGTTAACTTTGTTAATCTATTTATGGTTTGTGCATGTGTATGTGTCTTGTTTAAGAAATCTTTCCCAATTTTGAGATCATAAAGATATTTTTATATAGTTCCCTCTTTTAGTAGTGTTCTTTACATTTGTGTTTTTAATCCACCTGGAATTGCGGTAGATAGTATAAAATACAGTGGAAAGATAATTATCTTTTAAAATACTTTTTATAATGTTTGATATATGGGACATATGTATAAGTGGTGAAGTATTCCAGCTTTGATAAAGATAATATTACCAATACCATAGCATCTACCTTAATGCCTCAGAACTGTATACTTAAAAATGATTAAAATAGTACATTTTATGTTACGTGTATTTACAAATAACAATTTTTAGAAGAAAATTTGAAAAAGGAAAAGAAAATGGGAATGAGATAGTGGTCCACCAATCCAAGTTGCTTGGATATGTAGAGGCCAGTTTGCAATGAGTGCTGATGGTTCTGCCCTCATGGGTGGCTGGATTATAAAATAAAAAAACACATGTTAGTACTCCATGTTTGAATAACACTTATTTGAGACACAAAATTTTCTCAGGTGTAAGGCTTGAGGTTTTAATGTTTCTCACGTACTTCACATTCCTTTGGCTTCTGTAGACTGAATGTGAATGTTGTTTATATTTGAAAGTACTAGTCATCAAACCAAGAAATGAAGTAGTATGAAAATGAGGAAGCTTGTTTCAATTTGGGTAAACTCAGTTTGGGAAAATGTGTGAAGAAAAATGAAGTATTCAAAGTTTTGGAGTGTTAGTTGAAATAAAAAGAAATAGTTCCATGTGGTTGGAGTTTTATTCAGTGACTTTCAATTCTCCTATCCCCAGCCCATTTTCTGAAAGCAAATTGTGAATCTGGTCAAAGACTAATTTCCTAATTCTGAATATGAAACTAGGAATGGGTTCCTTTCCTGTAACCCAGAGGAAAAAAAGGCTTAACGGTGATTAGAAACACCGCTGTCAGCTTGTGTTTGCCTTCTGGCATCCCTAGACCCAATGAGGAAGAAGGGGAGAGTCTGGAACTTGTACTAGGATGGGATAAGCTCACTGCATTCCAAGGAGGGCACAGCTCACAGCCACAGGGAAGGTGGATAGCGAGTGTTTCAGAAGCTTTCATGTTCCCAGTGAACATTAGCTGGACTAATAGGAGACAGGCATTAGGCTGGCTCCACAGGGGGAATGATAAGGACCGGAGTACATATCCTGGTACATGAGGCTGCCATGGGAGAGGGTACACACTTATATGGGCTAGCCTGGGGTGGGGGTGGGGTCAAGGTTCTTACTGAGAGAGGCCAAGCAGCAGACACAGGCTAGCCACATGTGTGCAAATAATCTAATCATTTCATGTGCATCGCTGATTATCATGGCTATCACATTACACAAGTCCATGGGGACACTTACAAAGAATAGAACTAAATTGCTCCTCCCTGGATTGTGCAAAGCGGCAGCCATACCAGTTTTACTGTTACAATTCAACTATAATAATGATACCTGAAATCAAATTTCTGCACTAGAACAGAATTGTATCATTTTGTTATACCTCAGGGCCTTCAGATTTCACTTTGGGACAGTCTGGTACCTGAGAAAGTCTTGTTAAAGGATTGTTTTCTTGGAGAGCTCCGACCCCACAAATGGAATTTTCCTTAGGTAATCCAGTGTTCTCACACCGAGGAAAGATAATAAACAAAGTAAAATATATTGCATGTTACCTGGAGATAGTTGTTAAAAAGAAGTATTAAAAGGACTAGGAAAGAGAGTGCTGAGGTCCATAAGAGGACAGGAAGCTCTCTTGGAAAGGTGACATAGCTGAGAAAATGTGGCTCTCTCTGGTTAGAGGACAAGGACTGCTCTTAGTTACACTTTCAGAATTGAGTGTACTGGAAATGAGTCTTCACAGGTCTTACAACTTGCTTTCAGAAAATGGGGTGGGCAGAGTGAGCCATGTGGCTATTTGGGGGAACAGCATTCCAGACAGTGGGAACTGAGATGGGAGTGAGCTTGAAATATCTGAGATGCAAAAAAGAGGCAGGCATGTCTGGTATAAATGAAGAGACAGATGTGGGAAAGGACATAGTAGGAGGGATGAGGGGCAGGGCAGGGTGGATTATGTAGGGCCTTATGAAACAACAGAAGGACTTACATTTTTACTTGGAGTGAGATGGAAACTTCTGTTAAGTGCCTGCTCTATTCTTAACACTAGATGCTATAGAGGTCAATAATAAAAAATGAGAAACTGAGTTCATAATTTAACTCCACTAGCAGTCTGAGGAGGGGCAGATCAGAGTGTGTTGGGAAAAATGAGTCTGTTTTATACAGGATTTTGAAGTAGATGAAATGGCAATGCAGAAATGGGCATGTTAAGTGAGGAAAGTAGCAGGTGAAAAGTCACAGAGGAATAATCGGCTGGTAACAAGAAATCCTTTACCATCTTACAAAAGCCGTTCTTAGAATGTTATTGTTATTGGTATTGTTCATTTAATAACAATGGAAGCCACTGAACAACCTGATGGTCACTGTCTTCTTTTAGAAATGGAAGAAACAGTCCGTCAACTAATGATCAGCAAGTTTGGCCGTGTGATAGACCTAGAAGCTCTTCAGACACTTTCTGTGAATACAACACTTGAAGAACTGAAGATCAGAAAACTTCGAAAGGAGCTTTTGAATGCAAAGGAAATCAAGATGTGGGAGGTAAGGATGAGAGGGCACGTGATCTACTTTGGTTCAGTTTGGGTGGAGGCAAGAAATCCTGGTGAGCTGTAAGTGGTTCCTGCGAAGCATCCGTACAGCTGGAGGCGGGTCTCTGAGCCCCACTTGCCCCTCCCCACCTGCCCCCATTATCTTGTGATCTTAAGCCTGTCTTGGCTTCTTCACCATTCACTTAGTTAGAAGGACTTGTCTGTCTTGGAGTGAAAGCACCAACACTGGGGTTTGGCATCCAGGGCGCATGTAAATATAATGGCAAAATGGCATGAGAGATTACAGAGAGATTTCATTTTGAGGTCTACATTAGTGTACAAATGCTCTAATAGTTTTAGAAATGAAACTGCTATACTCTGAGGATCTTAATTGTATGTTTCTATATAGCTTTTGCATGCTGTCACAATCCGGAAATTAGAAAACATCTTCTAAGTAATAAATTTTATAACAAGGTATGGACTGTTTCGCTGGTAGGGTCTTAGAAGATGTTAATGCATGCATTGTTCCCAGAGCCATGAGATGAGGCAGTGCCCCAGTTACAGCCTGATTCAAAGGCAGGAGCTTTTACAAAGATTTTATAAACCCACAAATCACTATGACTTCTCCAGTTTACTGTCTTATCTCATCAGTAGATAGGAAAAAAGGAGAGGTTCCTAGTGCTTTCTTGTCTCATCTTTTCTTATCCAAGATTTGCCACTGTGCTGTGAAGAAGCAGATTACTTAAGTGTTTATGTCAACAGGACAGGTCCCTATCAGGGGAATACTGGAAAGAATATGTGAAATCTAAAGTAATTTGTTGAAGCAATAAGAGAACAAAGGAAAGCCTTTGTTCTAGCAGATGTGTGGCCATTCAAGTATTTTGGGGATCCTGGGCCAAAACTGGGGAAAAGGCAATACGTGAAAGTTTCCCACTTAAATTATCATTCTCTCTTTTAATTAATGAATACCAACACTCAGTATGCACACTGATTTCTCTCCTCGAGAATGGAGTGGCTTCTATATCTGTCTTATTTTTACCTACTTTTTATCTTTTCTCTAGTCAAACCAGACCAAATGCAGTTGCTTCTGGTTGCATTTTCATACTGGCTTCTGATGATATTTTCCTATGTGCACATCACTCCATTGGCCCAATGGTTTTAACCAAATCTGGACATTCATTTTTCTCTATTTCCTTTCATTCATTTAATTAATTTTGCATCTTCCTGCTCTGGTAGGAGAAGATTGCTCAAGTGCGATGGGAACTGATGATGAAGACAAAAGAACACACCAAAAAGCTCCACCAGATGAATGATTTGTGTATTGAAAAGAAGAAACTTGATTCTCGATTGAATACACTACAGAACCAGCAGGTGTGCTCCTTTTCTTCATACCCTGTTAGAACTGGGGAAGCTCTGTAAAGGTAGCTCTCAGAGATAATGCATGGGGAAGTAAGTTTTTAAACTGAGGTCTGTCTACCTCCAAAGCTGACTCCATTGCTACTATTCTTACAAAAATCTTCTTGGGATGGCAAGAAGATAGTGTCAAAAAACATGTCAAATAAGAATGACTAAAATTTGTTTGGATATGGTAAGAATGAGGGAAAAGTTAAAGTGACTTTAAAATGACCGACCAGTGTGACAGGGCATGAGTTGGCACATGCATTTTAGCTGCAAGTTTCAAAAAGCCCCATTGAAAGTAGCTTAAAAGAAGTCTGGAGGCGATGACTAAGGGGTTTTGGTTTAGTGGGCCTGTGATGTTGGGGTCAGTATCTCTGTGATTCTGATTCTTTGAGGTTTCCTTCAGAGTCACAAGATTGCATCAGCTCAGTTTCACATCCATAGGCCAGCCCCCTTTTTTTTCATTTAGAAAGCAAAAGTTTTCTGCTTATATCTACTTAGCCACCCTTAGCTGGAAGAGAAGCTGGGTAAAGTTAGTGTATAGCTTTCATGGCTTCTAAAGTGAAGGTAGGCAAGGGAGGAGAAGCAGAAGCTATGGGTAACGGTAGCCTCTACTTACTATGAAGGTCTGCCATAGTAAGCGAGAGTCATGGACAAGTCATGCGCTTTTGGCTTCAGGTAACCTGGTCTAACCCTGCTTCTAACCCCAAGAATATAGAGACTTGGGCCTATATTAAGAAATTCATGAATTTCTCAGTCTCAGTCTCCATATCTGTAAAAGTAGAATAACGCCATCTAGTTCACAGCGTTGTGAGGATTAAATGAGACAGCATATGTAAAGCAACTGGCAGAGAGTAGATACTAAATACGTGGCATGTCCCTTCTTTTAACATGCATTCAAATTTTATTGAGCATCTACTTATGTAACAAGCTCTAAGGTGAACACTGGGTAGTGATGAGATCTAGGCACACTGGGCCCTGTATCTAAGAGGCACAGGATCTCTTCAGACACATAGTGATCAAAGAAACATTCAGGTAGAACCATAATAGCTTGCCACTTTTTTAGGTTTAAAAGTGGTCAAGTATCATAAATTTCAAATGGTTCAACCTAATTACAATGATATATCATGGCTGTTTTCATAGAACACAGAACAGGAAATCCTAGCCTAGTCCACAGGGCAAAGGCGGCCTCCCTAAAAGTGATGTCTGAAGCATGAGCAGGGGTGGGCTCGACAGGGAAGAAATCAGACAAGGAAATAAAGATTTCCTGTTTGAGAAAAAAATATATAACTATAGGCTGTATAGAAAACAGAGGGACCTTGCCTTTTTGATTCGTTATGAGCCCTTCAGGGTATGAATGACTGATAGTTTAATGAGTTACTCATCTACAGGGGACTTGCATTTTGAGTTGTTCATTAGTCCAAAGGGACACATGTCTAATGGTGGGATTTCAGGCTATGTGGGCCTCCTTAAAGGAGCTATGGCTGTTTAAACTGACTGGAAGGCACAAGGACAGGGAAGTTTTCACATCTCAAATGATTCTTACAGTAGGGAGGTGTTTTCTCTCAACAGGGCAATGCCTTCCAGGGCCCTCGGAAAGCAGATACTGTGGCGAGAGAGAAGGTCACTCAGCTGATCCACTTCCAGGCAGAAAGGATTTTGGCCTTAAAGGAAGAGATCGCTCTTTTGCGTAAGAAAGGTGGCCTTATCCTCCCACCCATTCAGACACCACAGGAGAACAGATGAAAACCCTGGGCCTTTTAAGTTTGCTTTTTTTTCTCAAATCCATCCAAGATTTCTGACATAAAATTCACCAGAAATTCAGTTTCCTTGTTTCCTGCAACAAGCCTGTTATTTTAAAGTGAACTGATCTAAAAGTCTAAAACCACATCTAGTGATGTAGTTTCAATAATTTTTGGTAATCTTAGGACTGCAGTGCCCAACATCTATTTATTATTGAATGGAATCATTTTAGATCTGTTTGGAACCAACTAGATTGAGTATGAAGTCTTAGAAGACTCTGTCTCAAACTGCAAGGAAGCATCTTTGATACATCCCATTTTAGGAAATTTGATTTTTGGTTATCTGAATTTTTAGCCATTGGCAAGAAAAACTATCATTGAGAGCATTGGCCCAGATTTGAGGTTCCCCCTGGATTAGCTAAGTGAAAACTGAGAACATTAGCCCTGTCTGTCCCACTCCTGGAAGTGACCTCTAGGCTTTTGGCCAGGTGGTCTGAAGTCACATCTTTTTTCTCTTACCTGCTCTACCTCTCCTTTCCTAGCATTTCCATGTTATGTATAGTCCTTAATTTTATTTAAAATATTTTTAAAATACTGCTTTTCTGAAAATACGTTGTGTCTCAATGACAATTTTTCCAAGTTAGCTGTTGGATAGAAAGATTTAACATCTAAAAGTTGGCGCTGTTTCTTCTGGCCAGCAGAGGGTGTACTTGTCCTAGACCATTAGAGTCACTCCTGGGCTTTCCTATCATCTTGTTTATCCAATTCATGATGAGAGAAGCCAGGGTCTGGCGTGACCACTCTTAACGGGATCAAGTGGCATTTCATCCATAATTCAGCTTTACTGAAATCTAGAAGATAACGCTGCAAGTCTGCCTCCATCTAGTTCCAGTTCCACATTTAAAGGCTGATCCTGTGGTTGGACAGCAAGCAGTAAGAGAATGCTGATTTTAAACAACTAGTGAGTCAATTCCTCTGGCCATGTTGGTGTATCAGGTACCACATGTTCACGTGTAGCAATAACACTTAACTAAAGGGAGAATATACCGGGGCTTCAACACATACCCCTATATAGACAGTGTTACTGATACGACCAGTTTTACCTCAAGTCCAGTCCTAGGTAAGAGAACTGTGAACCCACTTCTCCCTGCCTACTGAACACTGTCTCCCTCTTGGACTAAACACTTATTAATGTATTCTGCATGAATAAAAACTGACATTCAATATTTACAAGGCAAAAAATTAGAAACGTCTGCCACCATTTCCAGATCTCATCTCTTGATGGATCTGAAAATGTCACAAGTGGATATTTTCTTCAGATACTCAAAGACTCAATCCTGAGGGGAATGCTGACTCATATATGACGAAGCCGAAGGTTACAGGAAAGACTAAACATTTATTTAGAAGTTACAGTGTTTTTAAAGATATGTTGCCACAGATTATTGATTCTGGAAGGTTTTTAATGCTTACAGTACTGTACACATCTGAGTCTATTCTCATGGGCATCTGAAAATGTTTTCTGTAGCACCAGTCCAACCATCTTCACAGGTGTCTCCAGCCTGTGATACTGTGGCCCTTGCTTTTCCCTCATGGTCATCGCGAACTGTGCACCTAGGATTCTTGCTTTCAGCAGCTACTCTGCAGGCCTCCTCAGTCTGTTTTGGCTAGTCTGTGATCCTGGTCGACTCCTGCTATGTTGTAGCTCCTTCGTTTTCCCTCTCATACGCCCCCGGGTAGGATTCCCTATGTCTCTGTGTCTCTCTGGCATTATAAAAACACATATACATTTATTTACAACTGCATAAATATATAAATATGGCTATTATAGAAAAATAAATACGAATTTTCTCTGTCCCTTTTTAAAAATGATAATATAGAATCTTTCTGGAATACTGGCTTCTGTCTAAATTCTGGGAGGTGGTGTTTCAAAAGATACATGCACTGGTGGGCTGGGGGAGAGCCGGAGCCCAAGCTCCTGTCCTGTGTAGGCCCCCGTGGGGTGTTGGGGACACCACTCTCCTCCACCCACTTGGCAGGACTCAGGACTGTCCACTTCTTCAACCGGTACAAGGCCCAAGCAGCATGGGGGCCCTGAGGGGAGAGAAAAGTAGGACACATTAAAATCCAGACTGACCAAGAACCAATGCTCAGTGATATGGGTCAGTTTCTCCGTGATGGCAGCTGGTTACACTGGTCCACCCTTCTGGTATGGTGTCTGATCATGATCACTCCACTCACAGTTCATTCCCCTAAATGAGGCAGTCCAGTTTTAATGATGCTCGGTCTTGCTCGAGGAGGTGCCTTTTAGAATTTCAGCTCCCAGAGACAGGGTCAAGGACCTACATCCATGCCATGGAGGCTAAGAAACTAAATTAGCCAAGCCTCTGAACCAGCCTGCACCCAAACAAGCATCCACTGATCTCCAAGAGACTGGCACAAGGAAGATACCACTGAGATGCTCTGCACTGAGGGGGCTGGCCTGCCTTGAGTCCCTTGCAGAAAAAGTTCTGTGGAAGCACAGAGGGTTACGATGATGATGTTTGCAAGAACTTGGCTCCTTAATGATTGATGTAACCTTAGTCCTTAATTAAGAGACAAGACTGAACAAAGCAAGGTATTTCAGAGTGATTAGAGAACACCTCTTAGTGCAATGAGAGGTGGTAGGAATTTGTGAATGGCCTTGAAATGCAGAGCCCAGAGGACTTCTTTCTCTGAAATGGCAAAGTATCCTTTTCTTTAGCCTTTGAGGACACAGCTTGCCACACCAAAGAAGGACCCAATGGGTACACCCCTGCAGCTCTGCTAGGCCTTGAGGAAGGAAGAAGGGTGGCCAGCCACCTTCCCTTCCTCTGTCTCTCCTATGTGAAAGCTATGGATGGCTCCTTACCAAGCATCACCATTGATGACTGTTATCTTCCCCTCCTCCAAGCCACTCCTGGGTCCTGGATGCCTACCTCGTGTCATCCCCAGACTGTTCAATTTCCTGCCCTGCTCCTGGCACTGACCTGGATGAAAAAGAGGGTCCCATGTCACTTCAGGCCCAGGATTCTGAGGTACACTCCTCATTCCTGACTGGCTGGCAGCAGCGGGCTGCTCCTGGAGGTGGCAGTCCTGGTGGGTCTGGAGTAGCTGGTGAGTTGAGTCATCAGGCAGTGTATATAAGTAAGAGCCCTCGTCTGGGTCAGCCTTGGTTCCCCTGCATGCATGAGACCAGATTGGGAGGTGAGGTACAGGCAGAGTGGGCCCGTATCCCCACTGGCCAGCTGCTTCCCTGTCCAAGGGCACCACAGGGGGTCAGAGCTCAGATGGGCAGGGACTGCTCCCCTTTGAACATCAAGAGGTGTCACATCATCATTTCCATGGGAGTAATTCTAGTCTATCTGCATTTTATTCCATGCAAGTCCCAAGTGTATGAAAGAACATAGAATCAGGTGTCCAGGGGCCTCTGGGCAAAGCCAGCAGTACGTGGCTACTCTGGCCTACCAAGTGAGGGGAGGATTCCGAGAGGCCAACCCATGCTCCAAAGCAAGAAAGGGCATCATAGCTACAAACACAACAACCAGTCCAGTGGAGCAGGTTGTCAGATGTGGGGATCCCCACGTGAAGCACTGGTACTCACCTTTCAGTGACTGACGCTAGATTTGAGGACCTAAAGAGTAAGTAAGCTCTAGGGCTCGGGAGTGGAAGGCAGGGATGGGGAGGCGCCTGGTTACCTGGGAATCTGGTGACTGTGGACGCCATATCCGTTGCCAAGAATGGTCTGCCTCAGCAGGCTGTTGGTGTCATCCTGCTGCTCAAATGAAAGGGTAACAAAAAGGCCACGTCTGAGAGTCCAGGAAACTTTCCTGTTCATACTTCAACAGGATAAACTGTTCCTGACTGAAGAAAGCCTGGCTAGTAGCCCAGTATTAGAGGCTGGAAGGGAGGAAGCCCCAGAAGGCAGCCCAACCACTCCCTCCACAGTGGCCTGCCTGTACTTGCCCGTACTTGCCCATACACCCAGAACTGCGTTACCTGCTGAAGCTCCCCCGGGCAGTGCTGCTGAGGTCTCATGCCTGCATAGCCCAAGGCAGTTGCAGGGCAGCCCCTGTTCACATGGACCCCATTGGCACAGGTCCGTCCATTGGTGCCACTAAGGTAGGGCTGCCCATTAGCTCGGTGGCCTGGGAGTCCTCCCAATGGTACCATTGTGTATTGGCAGGAGGAGGACAGAAGGGCACTTCGAGGAAAACCCAGGTCTGTTGTATGTTCTGGAAGAACAGAAAGATAGAGATTTGCTTAGGCCAAGGAGGCCTGGGGCAGCTTGAAAAATTTCCACATGAATCTCAGAAAACTCCAAATGAGGTAGGCAGGGAGTTGATGCTACCCCAAGAATGAGAATATTTTCCCTCAAAATACTCTTCCTGTCACCCATTTCTTTCTAACATCTAGACTTTTTCTGCAGTGGGGAGATGGGTGAGGAGAGAGAGAAGCAAGGGTGGGTTTAGCGGAAGGAGCTGGTGAACCAACGAAAGGAGTAATATTTAGGTGAGGCAAGTTGAGCAAGTATGTTGCCATTTGAAGCAGAAGTTAGTGGATAACAGTCAGATTAACCTAAGACAAGGGGGAAAGCTCAAGGCAGCCCTGGCCCCAGAGGCACAAAATGTTTGGAGGGAAGAGGCAGGTAAGTAGGAATATGCAGTCAGAGCAGCAGCTTCAGATATTGCAAGTAGTTGGAAGTGGGTAAGTACTGAGCTCCCGAGATGCAGAGAGGACAAACTCCCACTTCATACTCTCCTCCATCTGTCAAGGTCCTTGAGCTGGGAATAAAGGGCCCAGTCTTGGAGTATTCTGACTCTCCCCAAGCTCTCTGGGGGACCCTGGAGCTTGAGCTCCAGTGAATGAGAAGCAGGGTGCCTCCAATCTTTCCCTGGACAGAGGCCTCTTGGGGGACTGGGGGCCCTCCTCCCCTCTCTGGGCTCCTTCCTGATGGGGCTGAGGAGGGTCACTCACTCTGCTTAGACCAGGCCCTCCACAAGCAGAAGGGGATGAAGGCGACGATGATGAGGACGACAGAGCCCAGCACGACCCCGACAATCAGGTAGGGCAGGTCACTGGAGCGTGCCACCATGGCCCCTGTGCCCACTGGCCTCTCAATAGTTTCAGGGGGTGGCGGCTGAGGTGGAGCAAGAGTTGGGGGTGGGGGTCGACCAGGCTGACCAGAAGACTTTCGAGCTGTAATGGTGAACAAAACTCACATCAGCATCTATTTTTTTGACATTTCTTTCCCAACGAATAAAAAGAAAAAATATTCTGATTCCACAGATGTCGGAAAGAGGGTCAAACTCACAAGACAGGGCCTCGAAACCCTTTATTAGATGAGTGTGGTGTCCAAGCTCAGCACGAAATCAGTACTTGATGTGAAATTTGGTGGTGTTGAAGAGAACTGAACTTTATATTTCAAAATATAACCTGAGATATTTGTGAGTCACACACTAGAGTCAGACTGGATCTTCTGGGCATAAGTGGTGTGGGGGTTTACTAGGAGAAGAGCCTGTGAACTTTTAGAAGAAAATATAAAAAATGCATGGAACCAACAAAAGAACTGGGAATGGAAGAGTTTACTCGTGAATTTGCTCTTCCTGGGCAGATTCAGAGATGTGAAGTACTAGGTAGGAGCTGGGGTCACAGAGAAGGAGGATGGGTGTGTCGGGACTCCCTAGGACAGACAGTAATTGTGAAATGCCAATTCAAAAGCGACAAGATGGTGAACTTCTCATCTGGGTTTTGCTGTCATCTGACATCGTTAACTCTTACAGCGTCTTCTTGACTTTCCGATACTACAGGCTTCTGATTTCCCCACTACCTCTAACTGCTGCTGCTTCCATTTCTCTTTTCCCATTCTTTTCTGTCTTCTCCTCAGATATTAGGTCTGTACTCCCTCTGTGAACTCTCATCTCTTCCCATGATATATCCTAACCTATATCCTGATGACTGCCAAATACCCCTGGCCCAGGACCCTCGCCAGACAGGAGACCGGCTCTCTTGGGACATTTGCATGTCAATGTCTCAAAAGAATCAGACTCTTAGTAAGTCTCTTTCACTATATTCTTTTCTCATAGGATCTGGTTCTCTCCTGGCCTCCGCCACATCAAGTGGCAACATCACCTGTGTGGTACTGCAAGCTAAAAACCTTAAGGTCTCCTTGAACTCCTTTCCCTCTCTCCCAGCCCCTACATGCTGTCAGTCCCTGGTCCTACACACACGTCCTCAGAAAAGAGACCCAAATCCATCCCTTCTCTTTACGTTTACTTCACAGCCCCTGTTCTTCCCCTTTAGCCATTCTTGCATAGTCATCAGTGACTCTTCTCCACAAACATATCCAACAATGACCTTCCTCCACCTCACAGCCAAGAGGGGCCTCGATGACCCAGTGCTCACCATTGTCCCTGGCCTCTTCTCTCTCTTGTCCTTCTGCCAAGTGCCCTACATTCCAACCATCTGGAGTTACTTGCAGGCTGATCTGGTCCCTTAGGCCACCTCTCCTCAGTCTAGCCTTAAGAGTCAATACTTCCAGAAGACCAGTATGAAACCTTTGTGAAGTCTCTGTTCTTTGCCCTGGACACTGTGCTTGTCACTTGATTTGTAGCTGTGTAGGTATCTGCCCCCTTGCACCACTGTACATGATAGAAGGGCAAGATGTGCACACGAGTCGCTCAGTATTTGTTGAATAAGTGATGGAAAGGAATGCAAACTGAAGAGAGAATGTGGCCATGATGGGAAAATGGGTTGTTTCTTTGTCTCTTCTTATTCCTTCGTGATTGTTTCCTAATTTTCTTTGCAATACACCTGCTATCTACTCTTTCAGTATTTGCAAAATGGAGATAATGATATCTATCCACTTGACCAATGTGAAACTATTAACACGTTATTATGTGAATATGTTTAACAGGGGTTAGTGCAGAGAAAGCGTATGGGCTTGTAGTTAGCTGAACTCTGCCCAGAGCCTGCTCCACCTGAATTGGCTGCATGACCTTGGTCAAGGTCTATCTTCTCCTGATGCTCAGCTTCTTACCTATCTCAAGGGGTTGTGCTTAATTAAGTAAACCAACCAATGTAAACATCAGATTTAGCATAGGAATAAAGTGTTTATGGAAAGTTCCCAACCTGAAAATGGGTTCTATTCCATGAGTTCATGTGTGAGTCAGTTCCCAAGTTCCTAACCCATTCAGACTTAAGACTAGGCACAGGCAAATGAACAGAAGGGTTAAAAATGACAAAATTGAGGGGTACTTGGGAAAAAAGTGAGTCTTCCTGGGGAAGATGGGGAAGAGATACCCAGCAAGGCACACACAACGGCGACTTTGTCTGCTGAAAATGACGAGAGGAGAGCAGAAAACCCCAGGAGAATCACCTTTGGTTTCACAGATCATCACGTTGCTGAACTCGCTCTCCCCTCCTTCATTGAAGCACTGCATCTTAATGTCGTAGGAGGTCTCTGGCTGCAGGTGGCTGATGGAGTGCCAGTATCTATCCCCTGGGGAAGAGAACGAGAGTCACATGTGGGGATGTGTATCTGGTTTGCTTGGCCCCCAGGGGCAGGCAACCTCAGAAGGGGCTGTGTGTCTGGACTGGTGCCACTGACTGGCGCAGGGGTCATGTGGTAGAGGAACATTCAAGGAAATGTTCTAGGTTCCCACTCAAGGTACTGCCGTCCCATCACCATGGGAAGTAAGTATGTGGGTTTATGAACTTGCTGACCCCAAGTGTGACACGAAGGAGTTAATGATATGGGACACAGATGCTTTGTGTCATATCAGCCCAGGTTTTATACTTTCACCAATGCTGACATGAGACCCCCTTGCCGACAGGGGAAAGTAAATCACACAAAAGTGTTTCTCACCTTCCACCATATCCTTCTTGTAGTCACTATCATTGTCACTGTCTGTGGGTCGATAATAGATATAAAAGCCATGGATTGGAGTGTTGTTGTTACTTGCTGGAATATACTATAAGGAATAGAGAAGAAACGTGTTGACAATGGAGCAGAGAAACCATCAGGTGAGCAGAACTCCTGGGGGATGGAACTTTTACCCCAGCCTAGAGTTTAAAATTCACTGGGAGACCCTGGCAGCTATGATGTCCTGTGATATCCCCAATGCTTTCTGGAGAATGCTGTAGAGATCACTTATTACTTTATTTAGCTTGGAGACAAGAAACAAACTGCTATTTCCCCAAAGACTTTAAGTCCCCTCTGAACCTGCCTGGGTACGTGAGGGCGAGTCCCTCAATTCCCAGGTACCCAGACGGAAAAACACTTAAGGGGAGGCAGAAAAGTAGTTCGTGTCTGCCTCTGCCCAGAGGAAGCGCAGCCTGTCTTCCCGTTGCAGTCTGTGCAAGGCCACTTACCATCCACTTGAGCATGATGGTGGTCTCATTGACTGCATCAGTGAAGGTGATGTAAGGGCCTGCCACGGGCCTCTCGTATATGCGGCCACTGTAGCCGGACACCACGTAGGGCCGGGATGGGGCGCTGGGCTCGCTCTCCCCCAGCATGTTCAGAGCCCGGACCCGGAACTTGTAGGAGGTGCCTGGTGAGAGACACTCACTGAACCCAGGAGCTGGGAAACACCTTCCGACTCCCCCACAGCCCATCGGCCCAGATATGGAGAGAATGTTCTCGGCAACCCTTCCCCAAAAGCAGGCCCCAGAGACTCACAGGAACTCCTACCCTCATCAGAAAGGAGCCACGCAAGAGATGGCTCTGGACTCTTAGGGAGAGAGGAAGGCGGGGAGGGTTTGTGGGGCTGAGGTAACACCACCAAGAGGTTCCACGAGTCTAGCAGAAGGTGGAGGACGAGTGAGAAGAGCCTCCAAAGCCCCCATTCTCCTCCCAGTGGCTGGGGGGCAGCCGGGGGACCAGGTCGGACAGTGGCCAGGCCCCTACCTTTCTCTAGGCCTGTGATCTCCACTGAGAGCAGGGAGGGAGGGATGGCACTGGTGGCCAGAATCCAGTCCCCCACTTTCTTTAGCTTCTTGTACTCCACACGGAAGGACTGGATCGGGAAGCCACCATTCCCACGGGGAATCCAGGTCACGTACACGGATGTCTCAGAGGCCATGGAGATAGTGGGCCTGTCTGGAGCTTCTGGGGCTGAGGGAACCCAGATATGAAGGCAGAGGAAAGCAGGAGGCAGGGACGTGATTAGAACACGGTTATGTTGCAACTGGACTTGGCCTTCTCCTCCCCATAGCCCGCCATTCCCTGTTGGCTGCGATTCCCTGTTGGCTGCATCAGATCTCCCTAGGGCTACCTGGGTTCCCCTCTCCCAGGAGGAGCAGTCAAGCTAAGACCTCTAAAAGCTATACTTTTGTAATGTCAGAGGACCATGGGCCAGCTACTCTCCCCTCCACTCTCTCTGGGCCCACAGGGTCAGCAACCCATGTCAGCTTCCAGTGTTTTTATTTGGAAAGCTCCCATCTATAGTTCCTCATTGTGGTTAACTGGGGAGATGCCAGGAAAATGTCATAAGGACTTCCGGACCCACAGAAACAAGATCCCATTCAACCTGCAGAGGTGAGCCTTGCAGCAGTAGACCTGGTTCTCGTTTTGACTGCTCATCACCCCTGCACCCGGGGTTGCTGGGGGCTTACGGGAGAGGCGGCCATGGTCTGGCTGGCTGCTGCTCTGGAGGCTGGCTCCAGGGTCATCTCTCTGGATCTGCTGCTCCTTGCTGGCCAGGATTTCAGGTTTGGGCCGCCGTCCTGGGTAGAAGTGGGTTGAGATCAGCAAGGTGGGGAGTGTGTGTTAGGTCTCTGTTTTCCACAGAGTCCTTTCTGCCTGAGGTCTGATAAGGTGATGCAAAAAACACAGGACACTGGAAGTGTGGTCTGATCCCCAGCTCAGACTGACTGCCGTGGTATTGCATCTGGCCCCTGTGTGAGGGGGCGGGGTAGGGGATGCCAGAGAGGCTGGCTGGTGGCTCTCCTGCTGAGCAGTGGGACTTCAGCCTGGGCACACAAACCACAGGGAGACAGTAACTCTAAGAGAGATTACTTTTAAGGTAAATGACTGGGACGAGGTGAGTAAGGCTTCCCAGCTGGGCCTGGTAGGGTTTGCTCAGGCCCATGGAAACCCCGAGCTGGGAGAAATGATCGACTCTTACCAGTTCGGAAGGTGACCATGGCCGTCTGGCCTTCGCCTGCACAGTTGTAAGCTGCCATCTCCACTTCATACAAGCTCCCAGGGTCAAGTCTCGTGAGGGTCAGGCGGTGCTGGCTGGCCGGAATGCCAGAGATAGTCCAATCATCAGATGAGTTTGTGACCTGCTGGAGAAAGTGGCTGATGTCAGGACCTGCACCTCAACCTGGAGCTACAGGTGGGCTGTGGGTTGCAAGGAAAGTGGAACTGAGCCCAGGAAGGGCAGAAGGAGGGAAAGGCGAATGGGCCAGACTGGGGAGGGGTGGTGCTGCAGAGCGCAGACTGGTCCTGCTGGCTCCTGGACATCCATCCTCTCTGGGACAGTGAACTCAGGCTTCCTGATCTCTCAGCTAATGGCCCCATCAAAGAAAACCCAGAGGGGAAGGTCAAAAGGCCTGACTGATATTGCTGAGAATTTCTCCAAAGACTTCTCTCTCATCCTGAAAAGCTCCATATTTACTTTCTTTCTCCTTGCTCTCCTAGAAGGAACCAAACATAGTTCCTGCAGTTTATATTCTAATGAGATGAGAATGGCGATAAAAATAGCAGCACCAGTAGAAACGGCCACTCTTGCCAAGTGTTTACTATGTGCTAGGCATTAAGCACTTAATATGCACTACAAAGTGCTTTCATGACAATAGCTCAAGAGACTGGTGTTAATATTCTCACTTAACAAATGAGGAGACTAAGACTTAGATGAGTAATCTGCCTAATATCACATCGCAAGTGAGCTCAGAAACCACGAGAGCACGCTCATAATTGTAACATATCCTAGAAAGAAAAAGAATCTGGGAGCCAGAAAATCCTGAGTTCGAATCCTCATTCTGTTTCTTACCAGCTGCGTAACCTAAAGCAACTTCCCTAACCTCTCTGATCCCCAAGCTTTTCCTTTGTAAAACAAGGCAAATAAAATCTCTCAGATTATTCTGATTAGGTGATTTATGTAGTGTTGAGCTTTGAACTTGGCTCACAGCAGGTTCCCAATAAATGCCCAGCCCCTCTCCTGACTGCCCCACATCCTTCACTCCGTGAGGTCTCTGCCGTTTCAACCCTAGTTTTTCTGCTCCCGCCCTCAGTCCTTGCTTAGAACTTAAAAACTGTGGATGAATTGTAATGACTATGGATTAATGTTAATGGTTTCAGATCCCCAGCTCTTTAAAAACAATAAAGGAGCTCCAGGCTTCCCAACAGGCAATGCTGAGACAGGCTACTTCCTCTCACCCACCCTACTTTTCAGGACAAAAGACTTAACTGCCAACTGTGCACATCTCAGAGAGCCTGCTGGAACCTGAAGCTATGGTTTGCTGAAGGAACTAAACAGCTGGTAGGAAAGCTCTTAACCCCAAGCAGAATATTCCCAAGTAGAACAAAACCTGCTATTCAAGGGACTGGACGGTCTGGGCTCATTAATGTCAGGCTTCCAGGATTTGTTCCAAGGGGAGAAGTTTTTACAAACTGAGAATCCCCAGTGGTGCTGGAAACCCAAACACAGTAGCCCAGGCTCTGCAGATGTACCAGGAAATGAAACTTGCTTCACTGTGTGAAAAAGTGAAAATGAGCTAAATGATTCCTAGTCTCCAGCAAGAGAAGGAGGCTGAAAAAACAACACAAATGCTGTTTTGATTCCCAAATCTTTTCTTATGTGATGATCTTTAAGACATGTTAGTTCCTCAAGGAAGGAAACCGCTTTCAAGATATAATTTCTGCCTTGGCAATGTCCACCAAATAGCTCCAAGGGCCCCACAGTCCAGGTCCTAATAAAAGCCAGCCCAGCGGGGGATACTGTCCTCTTATTTCCCCTCTGTCCCTTCTCCCTCAGCTCTCCCAGTGCTGGCCTCACACTTCCACTGGGCTCAGAAATGAAAATAAGAAATGGAACGGTAATTAGTCACCGTCACACACACTGAGACAGTAGACGCAGCCTCAGCCTGGCATTTCCGGATCACCACGCATGGCCTTTGCCAGCCTGCCTCTTGCTGAGGCAGTTTCGTGGCCACCTATTGGCCTGAAAAATATTATTCTTGCTCTCATGCTGGTTCTTGTCTCCTGGGGACCATGAGCATTTGGCCTGCCCTGATCTTTGTCTACAACTCTGAGATGGAGGTGTCCAGTTACACAAGGAAATAAAGATTGAGACCAGCCTTGCCCCATAATCTGAGCTAAACAATGCTGCTTTTTGTTAAAAAGTTATTCACCCCCTTTGCTGGCTGGTGTGAAGACGCCAGAAAGCCACGGGTTAAAGAGAACTGCCCCACCCTGGCCCACACTTAGGAGGCAGCATTGCCCTTGGTGTCTTTCTGACAAACCCAACATCTCTGTGGACTTGTCCTGATCCAAGGTCTCCTCGGAGAGCAAGAAAGGGGAAGAACAGAATGAGAGGGGCCGCCAGGGTCCAGAGCAGGGGAAAGGGCTTCTGCACAGCCAGCATTTTCTGCAGTGCAAGGCTAGTTTTGTTTGTTTTCTGGAGGAGGAAGATGAGTTGATGAATGCTTTTTGTTCCACATTCATATATTTTCCAAATTTCCTTCAAGTGCACATAGTACTTTTATAAGCAAAATATTATGAATACAAAATAAAATCTAGCATTTATAACTCATTATTACTTAAGAGATTTTTAAAAATTTATTTAAGAACAGTAATTGTCTACTGTCTAGTGGCCTTAGAAAGAAAACAGCATGCACCTGGGATGAACGGAAACATTTTTCAAGGGCATTTTTCTAAAGGGAACTTTATGTCCTTCCTCCTTGAAGGGTAACAGCAAATGCGAGCAAAGCCTTGAACACGGGTGGCAGCCTGGGGGCCCTGTCCTGCCTCACAGGACAAACTGTCCAAGAGGAAAGGCTGGTTCGGCTCTGTCCCATACCCTGTGAGAGCCAGAGAGTTCTTCTCTGACAGCTCCCAAAACATTCACCCAGACAGACTCCCTCTGTCAAAGAGAAATAGTTAAGGTCTGAACAACGTGATGTGTTTTCAACTCAAACGCCTGCTTGTCAAACCTGATCCATGATGAATCTTAAGAACTGAGGGGGTATTTTACAGCCCTCAGAGAAAATTCTTGTTCACAAATATTTGTTTTCCTGGCTGTAGAGCTAGCTTGCCATGCCAGAGTTCCTGCAGGTATGTACTCAGAGCTTACTTTGCTTAAAAAACAAAACAAAACAACATCAACAAATGACAGAGGGAAGGACGGGTGATGGTTAACAGGGAGACTATTATTTCTCCTCTGGGACTGGAAGCTGGTGGTGTCGGCTTCTGGGAAATCAGTGCATGGAGCTCAGACCTGAAGGCAAACACATGGCTTTTTTCTGGGCTGCTTAGGGTCCCAAATGCCCAACACAACCTGATTTCTGGGAGGAGAAAGAAAGTTGTGCTCGGCAGTGGGAGTTGCTGGTCCAGGCCTCAGGAGCTCAGTGGGAGATGGCCAGCAGGCAGAGACCCCCTGCCCAGCCTGAGAGGAGGTGGGGATCACGCCAGGCAGCATACCTTGCGGTGTTTCACCACATAGTACAGGATGGGTGCCCGACTGCCACCCTCGTGCCGAGGCCGCCACACAAGCTCGTATGAGTCACTCTTAGAGGTCCGGGGTGAGCTGAGGATGATGGGTGCCTCGGCAGGAGCCACCTGCCCCTTCTCTCCAGGGCACTGTAGGGAAGCTGGCTGCACGGATGTCAGAGGCCTTGGGAGACCTGAGTGCCCCCTCAGCATCTGGTCAGGGCTTCTGGGTCTGAAGGGTGGCATGGGAGGTGTAGCAGTGTCCAGTTTAGCATCCCGCCATGGCCTCGGGGTTGTGCCTGGAAGACCAAGTAGAAAATAAATACAAGGGAAGAAAGAGGGTGTCAGTACCCCCTGGTCACCTGCTGAGCAGTTGCCCACCCCTCCCCGGGAGAAAAAGGAGAAGACCAGCTGGGGCTCAGGACCTGACATGAACATCAGTCCACTCAACACACAGCCAGGCTCTGCGGGAAGAGAGAGGGTCACGTCCCTGCCCTGCAGGAGGGAAAGCCCATGCCCAGGCTTCTCGCCATGGCATAGGCGTGGCAGGCAAGCATCTCTGCAACCTGCTTGTTTTCCTGAGCCTACACACTAGCCTCGTCTTAAGCGAACTATCTCCTGAGGTGCAAGAACCCTGTGCCCTCTTTCTCATGTCTAATGCTGGGAATGGGGGCATGTCCCTTCACTGTGGGATCTTAACACTATGGCACGACAGGGGCCTTTTCCGGCTCCACTGCATTGACTGAGAAATGAGAGCTGTGAAGCCAACTGTAAATGCCCTCTGAGAACCTGAGGACAGGAGAGGCGGCGCTTACTCCAGGAAGCCTCCACGGACTCTGTCAACCAACACTAATTTTTCCTATACCCGCATTGACTGAGAAATGAGAGCTGTGAAGCCAACTGCAAATGCCCTCTGAGAACCTGAGAGGACAGGAGAGGTGGCGCTTACTCCAGGAAGCCTCCACGGACTCTGCCAACCAACACTAATTTTTCTTATACCTGACCTCCTGCACCACAGGAGGTCGGCCATCTGATAACGTTGATTCAACATTTCATTATTTGTCATCATATTTTTCTGTTTATTTCCTTGAAAAATTTTATCTCCTCCATGAGAGAATTCTTGAGGGTAGAGTGTTACGTTCCTCGGCATCTCCCACGTTACCTAGCCCAGTGCTGAGCACACCTTAACTGCTAGATCGGTATGAGTGTCAATGAAAATGAAGCGAGCCGAGAAGGACACACTTGCTTTTCTTCACTCCAGCACAGTGGCTGTCAGATTGGGTTCCATGGAACCCTGTGAACCCAAATTCTGCAAAATAATTAAAATGAGTTTTTAAAATAAAATAGTTAAATGGTTCATTTTCACCAGTGAAAATCTGCACTTCCGACTTTTTAGTAAGTTCATGTAAATTTGAACTTACAACTAAAAGCCACTTTTATCTATTTTCTATATTGGGGTTCTATTTTGGATTTCATTTGAGCATACACAGCTGGAGTCTCAGCCCTTGGGCTGCACTTGCCTGGCCTGGCGGTCCTCAGCTGGACCACTGCATGGGCGCTCCCAACTTCATTCTCGGCCATACACTGGTAGACGCCTTCATCTTCAGGCCCCACACTGACCACTCGCAGGGCCCTACGGGTCAGTCGGAGGCGCTGGCTGGAGGTGAGGGGCACAGCATTCCTCAGCCACAGCACGGAGGGTGGGGGGTTCCCGCGCACCTCACAGGTGAGCTTGGCACTCTGGCCCCACGGGATGACCAGCTGGGACAGCTCCACAGTGACTTCGGGGGGTTCTGCCGAGAAACCAGAGCAGGGATTAGAGAGGCTAAATCTTCCTGTCCAGGGCCAGACAGGCTGGGGAGGGAGCTGCAGTCAGGAAAGGTCCCAAGTCTCTTCCATCAGAGTCATGCCAGGAAAGGCCAAAAAGAGAGCTGCCAGGCCCTTACACCCTAGTCCCTGGGATCCAGGGGTCTCTGCCTCTCTCAGTACTCCTCCATCACTCGTTTGGCATGTGACCACTCACAAGGCGTGTGACCCTTTATCGGTCTGCAGTTTTGAGATTCTAGAAAGGCTATGCAGGCCAAAGAGAAGGCAAAGGAGGAGAAGGTCTGCAGAAGACACTCACCGAACACCTGGACGTTGTAGAGGATGACTGCTGCCCCAGGCTCTCCTACTCCGTTGTCAGCCATGCAGCGGTATGTCCCCGAGTCCTCCTCACTGGTGGTGTCAATGAGGAGGTTGCTCAGCAGGAAGCGCGTCTTGTTGTAGCTGGCGACACTGGACCCATCCTTGGCCCAGGTAACTCGTGGGGGTGGGATCCCACTAGCCACACACTCTAAAATGAGACTCTGGCCTTTGGTAACAATGATGGTCTGTGCCTCTGGGGGGTAGATGATGCGGGCAGCCTCGGCGGTGGAGCCTGCGGGGGTGAGGAGGGGAAAGACAATGCATGAGACAAGGACTTGGTGCAGAGGTTCCCCTCCGTCCCACCTCAGGTGGCCCGGCCTCAGGAGGCAGGCCCAGAAGGCATGGATTTGGAATGAAACAGCCTTTAGGAGCTTATGACCTATGATAAGTGGGGTAAGTTACTTAACTCCCCTGGGCCTTGGTTTCCTTATGGGAGACAAGGATCTCCTGCAGGGAGCTGTTATGTTAAGAAATGAGATAGCAGTGGAATAGCATCCTGGACACAGCACATGTCTGGGTAACGATGTGTGCTGGCCAAGAGAGAAAGATGAGGGAGCGGACAGAGAAACAACTTACATGGTGGAGGTGATTTTCCTCACTTGAATTCAGTAAATGAAGTCTAAGACCAAGGATGAGATGGGATACAGTGTCCCCCAAACCCCACCCATGGGTCTCAGTACCCAGGTGTCTCCCACTGCATAAGCATCTCACAGTAAGCGTCTTGCTGAGCTGAGCAGGACCTATGGTTTAAACCTATGGTTTAAAGATGTGCATTTCTCAAACTGCGAGGTCCTCCAAAGCAAATAAACTACCTCACTGGGTGCTCAGCTGAGGAAACAGCCATCTTTTTTCAATGCGGGGGGAGAGACCACATAGAATTTATTGAATGGCACGCTGCTCTCCATGTGCCCCCTTCCTCAGGGACCTTCATAGAACCTGTTGACTATGTGTGATTTTGCTTCATGTGCCAACCAGGGGCAGATAAGGTTTTATAAGAACCTGAAAGTCATATAACTTGGGAGGTCTTCTTTAAGAAAAAATACCCACAAAATTATAGATACAAAATTAGGCGAGTGAGCTTTGCTTCATTAACTTTATGGTAAATACACCTCTGGTGCCAACTTTAGAACCTAACTCCAGGTAAGATGTCATTTTACTGGACACGCAGGGAGCCCAGAAAACTGTCTGGCACATGGGAGGTGCTCAGCAAAGGTAGCTGCTGTTTTCACGTAAACAGGGAGTGTGTGGGCCTCCATGGATTTTCATCAGAGGGAGGTGTTGGGCACCCTTCAGCAGTGCAGACAGCGTGGACACAGCCTGGCGTCATAAAAGGAAGGCCCTGGTGGCCTCATCTAGGCACCAACGCACCATCATCTTTTTCTGTGCATATGCTGTCAGGGGCTTAGTGCCACGTATTCCAACTGATCCCCGACTATGAAAGTAACACAGTGAAGGAAAGCTCTCAATAGGCAAGAAGAAGGGGATGTCCCCCACAGTGCTCTGATGTGACCAGGAAGCATAGCCACCTCCTTGAGTCAGGCTGGAGGGCTGTGAGGGGCTGGCACTTGGGCTGGCTGGAGAAGAACCAGCCACATGTGAATCTAGTCCTCAATGTCCTATTGGCCTGAGTCCAGCGACCTTCACCCCAACCTTGGAGAAAAACTGTGGGATGGGGCACCCCTCAGGCCCCGCCCCCTCCATCAGGGAGCCCGTGACCCTTACGGCGCACGCGCAGCCGATCACTGGAGCCCGCGGTTTTCACTTCCTGGGTCACTGGGTTGTAGGCGGCGCACTTGTACATCCCCTCGTCCTCCTGGCTGGCGTTCACAATCTGGAGGTTTCCTGATGGCATGATCAGGTAGTTATCTGAAGAAAAGGACAAGTGGGGAACATGGGATGATTTTGGGCCTAGAGGACTGTACCTGACAGCTCTCGCAAAGGTAGCGGGGGCAGGCAGGGCAGGAGCCAGGGGCTGCTCACCTGAGTCCCAATAAGCCCAAACCAAAAATGCTGTTCTCCCCAAAGGGACAGAAGTGCCAGGTAATGAAACTAATGGACCAGCTAACAAACCAGCTGGCTGACTAACCCCATCTTGTTAGTACATAGGTCTGTGGAAGAGCATTTCATACTTTCGAGAGAGCTGGGTAGGGTGGAAAGAGCAGGATTTGGGATCAGTCAGACCTGGACTCAAGCTATGGATCTGCCCTGTACTAACAGTGTGATCTTGGACAAGGTAATTAACTTTGTAGAACTTGTTTCCTCATTTCTAAAATGACAACCTGTGCTGCCTCTGAGCCACTGTAAGGATTGAGGGCCTATGCTGCATATGTGGAAAATGACATAATCATTCACACAAGCCACCGATTTGGGATCAGTCAGACCTGGACTCAAGCTATGGATCTGCCCTGTACTAACAGTGTGATCTTGGACAAGGTAATTAACTTTGTAGAACTTGTTTCCTCATTTCTAAAATGACAACCTGTGCTGCCTCTGAGCCACTGTAAGGATTGAGGGCCTATGCTGCATATGTGGGAAATGACATAATCATTCACACAAGGAGAGAGGGAATTTGACTTTAGAACTTCCCATCGGTCTCCGTCATGGGCACAGCTTTGAGCTACCTCCCGACTGAATTTCTGCAACCAGGGATGAATATTCTAAGCCCCAATTACCGCCCTCTCCATGGATGCCACTGAATCCCTCTTCATCACTGGCCTGCTAGGCTGTATCTGCTCTTGGACCAGGGGTGCCAGGACGGTGGTGCCCCAGGGCTGTGTTCAACTTCTTTCAATAGGAGACAGATTCACAGCTGCTGGACATCTCAGTAACTGAACTTCCTGGTAGCCTGCTTTGGGAGTCATGGTGTCCCCCTGTACTCTGGGCTCATTGAGCCTGGTGCCTGCCTGCCACTGGGCTGCCCTAGGTTTGAGCTGCTTAGGTAAATGCCAGATGGAATGGGAAAAGCCCTTGATCCTTGTGGGATGGGCAAATCTCCTCTAGGAGATACTGCCAGGCTTCTTCTGGGGACAGTAGGGATCAATGCTCTTCTCTCAGTTTCCACTTATTTCTTAGGGGTGGGATTAGGGTTTTTACCCTTTCAAAAAATTCTTTTCTGTATTTTCTATATGAACACATATTTCTTTCATAACCAGAAAAAGCAAATAAAAAATATTTAAAAATCTATAGGATATTGTAAAAGGTAACATTTTAAGTTGTGAGGTCCAGTCAGGTAGGGTCTGCATAGGTTTGAGTGCAGGGTCAGTTGTGGATGAAGCTGACTTCGTCTCAAGAGAAATCCCCTCTTTCTGCTGGAACTCTGTGGACTAAAGCTTGGCCTCTCCTGGACCAGCTGTCGTGTCCACTGTGGCCTGAGCAGGAAGCTGTGATAGCTGAGATAGCTGCATTACCAGGAAAATGGAGAGAGGGGAAAACTCAACTTCCATTAAAAAGGATACTCTGCTGTGTGGGAATGAGCTCCACCTCCCACCAGGGAACCCCACAGCTGCAGGAATGGCTGGGTTTGTCAGACAGCTGTCCTGTGTGTGCCTCGGGGCCAGGAACTCACAAGTGGAGAGGATCTGGAACCCTGTACTGAGAGGCCTGATCAAATGGAGGCAGCTCAGCAACATCTTCCAGGGCCTCAAAAGATGAAGAAATTCCTCATGACAGGACAGAAGACCTCCATAATAATCCCTTTAGAATCCTATGGCCTAAATACCAAGGTCAAAGACGGCTAATCAACATGAAGAGAGGGCTGTCAGATGCTGATGTGGGGCTGGGAACCAGTGCTTGGAGGCAGCCAGCTTCCCTCCTGGCCTTGGGCTCTGGGCTCCTGCTTGCTCACTCACCTCTGGATGCCTCCAGCCATTCTTGTTTGACACTGTATCGGACCTGGGCTTTTGGGTGACTCTCAGGAAGATGGCAGGCAATGACTGCTGTGTTCCCCTCATCTACTTCAATCACATGCTGCACATCTAACTTGAAGTCCTGGAGATCTGTAGAGAGGAGGGAAGGTGCTGGTTGGGCCTCAATGGGGGAGGCATGCAGTGTTTCCAGGTGGCTTGTGTCTTGGGTGTCTTTAGTCATAATAAACGGCTGTAGAACCTCACATACTGGGGGCTCTGTGGGGGTCCTCTGAGTCCTTTTTCTAGCCTTCGTCATCTATGAGAGTATATAAAATGGAATGTGTGGCCTTCATCACTGCATGGGAGTTCAACTTGGTATATGTAAGCTGTGGGGGTAGGGAGTGGATGTAGAGCAGTGGTCCCCAACCTTTTTGGCACCAGAGACCGGTGCTCCTATGAGAATCTAATGCCTGATGATCTGAGGTGGAGCTGAGGTGGTGATGCTAGCACAGGGAAGCGGCTGCAAATACAGATGAAGCTTTGCTCGCTCACCCACCACTCATCTTCTGCTGTGTGGCCTGGTTCCTAACAGGCCACGGTCCAGGTCTGTGGCCTGGAGATTGGGGACTCCTGATGCAGAGAATTCCATCAGGAGGTGCCTGTGATACAGACCAGCCTCTTCTATTACACTGAGACATGGGGGTTAGGTGGCTAGGCCCATTGGCCCTACTGAACCTGTCTGAAAACAGGTCATGGTCAAGGTATAAATTTTCTGGCACAGCTCAACTAAAGGAATCTGAAGAGAACAATGAAAGAGAACGCTGATGTCTTTTCTCTAGTTCAGTCAATAACAGCCTCCCTTGGTACTTTTCAGACATCCACAGTGAAAAGTGAGAGGCCCAAGATACCATTCAATTGCCAACCATGGTTATAACCAGAAGGCTGATTCCTGCTACCCAAGAGCTATACTCCATGTCATGGATAATCCTTTCTCAGAGCTGGAATGGGGATCTGTGGATGCCGTAAGGGTTTTCAAAGGCAAAGAGGGATCTCCCTGGTGTGGCTTAATGGCAGTGGATGATGGCGGAGCTGAGGGTCTCTGGAAGCATGGCAGCCATCTTTCCAGGCTTGGCGTGGTGTCAGGAAGACTGGGATCTAAACTGGGAGAGGATGGACATCCATCTGGAAAGAAAGCAGGACGTTTCCCAAACAATCCAACAGTCCAAACAACAACACTCTCTTTGTAGGAGCCAAACCACTGATGTTGCTGAACAAAATGGGCCATTTGTGTAACAAAACGATATTCCAAATTTGGTTCAAGAATTACAGCTGAATTTAACTTGAGAGGAAGTAAAACTAATGGAAAGTAAGATAAGGGAGATGAAAATATTTACCCACTCTCTTCATAAAGGTACTTAGAAAATGCCCTGGAGGCGATCTCACTGAATGCTGACTGCACCAAATTTTGCTCAGCAACTGAGAACTGATACCATCAGAGCTTGTGATTCCACTACAAGCCCCCACCTGCCTGTGTTATTTCCACTGGAGACCCAGAGAAGGCAACAAGAGCAGGGATGGGGCGGGGGAGGTCAGGTTTATCACAGGAGAGATGATTACCAAAAACAAACTACTGTCACCAAAGGAGAGCCTGGTGAAGGAGGCACTCAGTGAGGTCATGAGGTTCTCACTTAATGGACTTTCCAGAAGCTCTCAGTCAAGCCAAGCAGAAGAGCCCTTTTGTTTCTATGAAAGGATCATTGTCCCTTTGATTACGATATCAGACTGTGAACTTTTTAGGGGAAGGGACCGAATCTCCTTCATATCTATGTTTTCTAAACCTTACCCAGGGCCTGGCCCAAGTAAAGGCTCAGTAAATGTTGAATGACTGAATGAATGTCTTGGAGCTGGGCCTCTCAGTCAGGTACAAGATGCCCAGTTATGTCGCCTGCTAACTCAAATTTCCTAGTTGAGTTTGGTCTACATCATGATCTCAAGGATAAGGGCCTAGCACAATACATTTTCTTCAAACCTTTTATCTAAGTGTGGCTATTTTGAAAATAGAATGTTTTGAGAATGTTACTTTCAGAGTCATAGGAAAAAGGTAAAATAGGTTTAATAAATGTGGAGTAAGAAATACATGCTGTTCATGGAGTGGTGTGGCAAAAATGACGGATTGATTACCCAATTCATTTTTATTGCCCCATTTCAGGATGACCAAGTGGTGCCTGTGGGTCAATGTGAGATCTCTCATGGATTCCTTTGGGTGACCGTAGGGCCTAATGGGCTTTTAAAGAATTTTCTTGTCATTAATTTTGTGTGTGTGATATCTGACCCTAACTAAATTATAAAAATTTCTAATAGGCAGCCTATTAATTTTGCACTCCATACCCCCAACCCAAGCCCCACTGCCTGGTATTCAGGATATAGCAAATGCTTTCTAAATCCTGTTGAATGAATAGTTTGGAAGGCTGAGACCAAGACCAGCCTCATGGGTATGCAACCAGTGCAGCTGCACAGGGCCCCTTGCTTGGAAGGGGCCATTGCTTGGTTTCATGCTTTGTTGTCACCATCCTGAAATTCTTAACATTTAAACCCTGCATTTTCATTTTGCACTGGGCTCCACAAATTACACAGCCTGGTCCTGGCGGAGCCTCTCAGCCAAATCATTACATGCATTTTCTCTCAGAAGGAAGATATGGACTGTGGGAAAGGGTGGATTGCCTGTGCTCAACATGTAGCTTAATATTGCTAACTGCTTTCAGAAGCAATTCACTTAAACAGCGCAAAGGCTTTAATCCCCTCAGCATAGTGCACACTGTACCTGCCAAGTCAGGAGGCTCAGCGCAAAGCTCAAGGGCATCTGGAAAATTCCTCCATCACTGAGAAGCACTCTTTTCGATGGTCCAATGAATCTAAAAGTACACTACCATGAGGGTTTTGTTTTTTTTTCCATCCTCCCCCTTTTCTTTGCCTCATTCCAAGGAAATTTGCCTCGAGCAAGAATACATTTAAACCTAACAGAACATTTTGCAAGAGAGATATGAGCAACCAGAAGGACTTTGGCATCAGAATGCCATCTCTATCTTAACGGCCCTGGGCTCCTGCCCTGTGGTAACTGACAGCTTATCCAGGCAGGGAGCATGCACTCCTCCAGGCACCCACCTTACCCACCCATTACTAGAAACATCGTGCCCCCATAAGCCCTTCACGGCTCCTTCTGCACTGACAACTGTTGGGCTAGACACAGAAGGCTGTGCAGTAGAGGCGGTGCAAAGCTGGGCACCGGTCAGCCATGTGGCCAGACAGTCCCTCTCCTCTGTTGTGATGCCAACATGTGCACAACAGCCCATGCAGGCAGGACCAAGGACACCCCAGCTGGGCACCCGGCTCCCCATAAGGGCCGACTGGCAGGCGAGCCTTCCTGGCTTCAAAACAAATAATTAGCAGTTTGGTCCTTGGCCCTGTCCCCTCCTTGTGTCGCCTAAGCTTAAGCCTTAGCTTTTGCTTCACTAGACAAATACTCCCAATTTGGCTGCTAGAGCAAAAGTTGAGTTTCACTAAGGGATCAAAGGCAGAGTAATGAAGTGATTTGAAAATCAGAGTACCTCCTTTTCTACTGTTTTTAGGCAGGAAGGAGGCCAGGGAGGGGTGGAAACTTCATGATCAATAACAGCCCCATCCGCCATCAGGAGAGGCAGATGCAGAGAGATTCAGTTGGCTGCATGTGAAGGAAACCAGCCTGTTCCCAGGCCTCTTTGTCTGCAAAGGCGGTTTCCTGGCCAGTTCCTGGGCTGCTCAGGGAGCCTCAGTGGGAATCAGGGGCGGGCCTTTCAGTGACAAATGGGGTTAGCAGGCCTCGATGTAGAATGATGGATCAAGTTTCATGGGGAAATGGTTTGACAGGACACCTGCCCTGGCCTGTTGGCTGGTGTGTTTGAGAAATCCATTAGCAGAATGTTTTTGCAGCTTTAATCCTCTTACCTTCTCTCAGACCCCTCTTATACCCTCTCTTTGTGTATTCTTCCAGTTATTTTATTAACTTGTCTCTACTAATCAAATCCCAATAGGATCGCTCTTGATTCTCAGCTGTTGGTGGGTCAAAAGCCCTGCTCACTGGCACCATCTTGGAGTTTACTGACATTCCTTCTCAAAGTACTTTGTACTTCCTAAGAAAGCTCATAATAGTTCAGGCTCAAAACAGAACCCGGCTCAATTTCTTAAGGGAACACATATCTTTTGATATATCATTTCCATAGGACCTTGGATACATAGTATACAGGGATTTGTTCAGACGCAAATCATGTGATGTATTCTATGTTTCTTCTTCACATTTATAAGATCCATCAGGCACCTACCTTCTTGGCCAGGTGGGGAAAAAGGCAAGTAAAAGACATTTAGAAGCATGTGAGTGTTGCTGCCATCACCAAGATCACATGCAACACTACAAATTGGTAAGTTTTATCTTGAGCCCCTTTTGAATTTCTTACCACCTTCTAGCCTCAAAACTTTCTTTATTTAATAAAAGGCTCAGTAGAACTATGAACTAAATTACAAACTTTGGTGTATGTTTATGCATTCTCTTAACGTAAGATTGTGAAATCTTAATTATAGGCCCATTCCCCCGATTTTCATAGAATTTACACATCCAGTTACAGGGTGCATTGTACTTTAGCAGAATGCCCCCAGTGTAATCTATAAATTTAATCACATTCAAGGCGATTTCTCATTCCAACCTCTTCTCTTGAGTCCTCACTTAGGCTGTAAATCAAAGTTTAATTGTGTTTAAGTAAGACAGCACGTTTGGCTGGAGGCTGCATTGAGTTACCACATCCCCATCTCCATGAGCTCAGCTGAATGCTTAAAAAAAACTGGCTTTCTACCCATCCAGGCATTTCTCACATATAGACCGTCCTGTCCTCCCCTCCTGTCTGTTCTCAGGAATCACAAGACAAGTCTGCACTCATCTGCTGAGGTCTGGATGGGATCTACCAAATTGTGGGGACACAGTAGTGGGCTCCCTTGGCAATGCTGCCGGGATGGCTCAGTAGCCTCACTGCCATCAGCAAGTTTCTGGGCTGACTGATAATTCTACTCACTACCTCTCATGGCATCCAGGTCTCAACTTGTCCTTCTGGTGGCTTGCTGCATCT